AGCACCCACCTTCGTAGGACACATCAGAGCCTCCCGCAGGAGGAAACGCTCTCTGGCCCTACGTGATTGTTGTGGGGCGGAGCACAACACCCAAACTCTCCTTTCCCTCCGCTGCACCAGGCACAGTGTGTGCCCTCCGTGTATCTTTTATTGACCTCACCAACAACAGTGGACCAATTCCACGCAGAGTCAATGCACCCCGCAACCACATCAGAAGAAAAGGGCTTACTTAATTGACCACCTTGATATTCGGCATACATGTGACCTCGGCGAAAGCAGCAATTACTCCACCAGCACTGACTAGAGAGGGTGAGGCAAACGAATCCCTCGCCGTAACTGGAACAATCCCATCCTTCGGCTGCACCAGCGTCGTCTGCGGCACAAATAGATTGACTTCACGCGGCAACTCAACGTTTATTGAACCACTCATCGCATCATCAATGGGATCCTCCTTCGGCTCCGTGACAGGCGTGGACCTTCTTTCGGGTGGTATCGGAGCCACTTTTGTGTTCCGAACAAAGGCAAACTCAGGCCTCGTCTCGGACGTGTTGGTCGCCGTGTTAGATGAGGGACTCGGATCGACGGTGTTGGGTCCGTCAACCGCCGCAGACCGTCGCCAATCCTCGTTCTGACGTGACGGCTCAGCATTAACTTGCGGCGCAGTTGTCCCACCAGATTTTGTGTCATCCTTCCCTTCACGGGGTAGCGGCAACTGACAGATGCCCGTCCGGTCAGCATCGCCGCTCCGTGCAGGCGGATGGATGGCTCCATCGGGGGAAAATAGACGCCACCACAATTCATAAGGGCCGGCGCATTTATGCGTCGTCACATTCATCGTGAAGGCAACGGTGGCCCCTTCCTCTTTCCTTGCACAGCTGGCAGCACAGTTGCTACATGTGTGCACCGCACTGGCCACATGGAGCACAGCACCCAGCTCACCATTCCTGCCATGCAAGCGCACACCAAAGCCACTGAAAGTGTAATTCTCATACTGAGCCTCAGCACCGGCAGCAGAACACTTATTCCACACCCACACACACGCGACAGCTCAGGCTGCCGTCACTCGGAGCACACGACACATCCACCGACACAACCACCGGCACAACCAGAAACACGTCCAGGACTCCCAGCAGCAGCACAAGAGCGCAAGGACCAACACGGCGCCGCACCATCACCATCGCAGTCATCATCGCCCGTAGTGGAGTCGTTGGAGTCAGTCAGCCGATCCGTGAGCCAGAAGGAAAAGGGATGTAACAGGAGGGAGAGGGACGGAGTGCAGCGGACGCAGCGAGAAAGAGCAGAAAACATGAGGAGAGGGCAGGAGGCCCAGCCGCACAGTTCACACACCACGAGACGGCATCCACGCAACGAAGACACACAACGCCAGCAGTCACCCACCATGCAGAAGGACAACACATCCACCACCATCTCCTCCCAGCTCATCGCCACAGCCCCAGGGAAATGGCAAAAACCCCGCGGCCACCACACAACACACACGGAGCAGGCAATCACCACACCAGCCACACGCGCCAGTGGACCCTCATCCATCCATGACGCGGCAACAAAATTTCCAGCCATCCCGCCCTCAATGGGACACGGAGCCCAACTCAACGCAGTCACACGCGGTGCATCACACCCGCAGAAAAGGAGACTCGGGCTGCGCACTCCCCCCTCACTTCTCCTCATAGCCACGGAAGAAGACAACAGCCGCCACACGCAACTGCCAGCATGCACCACAAAAGAAGCATTCAAATCCACCGCACTGTGCATCTTGTGTGTGTGGTTGTGTGTGCCTGCAGAAACACAAAGCAGAAAAGTAGAAAAGAGAGCAGAGTGTGTGGAGAGACGCACAAAATGCACAGCAGAGACGCATGGCGGAAACAACAAGAAGACCGCTCAAACTCATGACTGCACTGCAGCCCAAGCAGCGGCAATTCACAAAAGATTTATTTAAAACAAAACAAAAAAACGTCCCCCTTCGTCTCATACAAACCCCATCACACAAAATAATTATAAAAGAAAAAGAAATCGTCCATTACTGTTCCACACAAATTTAAAAAAGCAGCCGGCTGCCTTGTGGCCACACCAAACTGTCCGTACATATTTTGCCCGCAAAATAAAATTAAAAAGATATTTAAATGTCTTTCAACCGTCCGACCCTCCATGTGTCCGCACATCGTTTATATTTCATGGGGTCATCTGCGTGTTGCTGCTCCCCTCAGCCCTCCCATCGGCGCGTGAGTGCGGCCCGCAGAGCACAGTCACTCGTGTGTGTGGGACTGAGAGAAGCACGCAGACGCGACGGGAGAGTGAGCGCAGCAAAAAAAAAAAATCATCGGAGGGGAGAGAAATGCTGACGGGACTGCCAGCGCAAGAAATGAACACAAAAACAAAAAAGAAAAGAAAAGAAAAACACGGCGGCAGGGTGTGGCTGTGTGTGTGTGTGTGGCGCTGCGGGTGTCTGCCAGCCCTGGCCGCAAGAAAACAAAACAAGAGGGAAAGAAATGTGTGCTCCGCCCCACAGGCCCTCGTCGCACGCCCACACGTCACGGCTCCCTCAGCGCGCCGTTCGTCGCGGCCCCTCCTCATGCGTGCAGCAGGCAAGGCGCACAGGGCCGTCGTCATGAGCGTGTCGGTGGGTGTGCGAGTGGAGCAGTTGGGCGGAAACACACGGCACCCCTCGCAGGAAGAGTGCAGCAACAAACAATTAAAAGAGGGAAGAGTAGAAAAGAAAAAAACGTCCATCGTGATTGCCCCAAGGCAACAAGCAAGATGAGGGAAATGATTAAAGTAAAAAAAAAAGAAAAGAAAAAAAGAAAGTGGAATTAGCAAAACTCATTGAGTAATGCTGGGATGCCGCTCAGTTGTTGCTCCACAGAATTTCGCAACTTTGCTCTCCCCAATTCATTCAACGGAGAGCCGCAGTGCCCCACAGCCCCAGAAGCAGCAGCAACAACACCCGAGACACACACCTATGCACGGTGCTGTCACCAACTAGATACATGGCCGCCAACTCGCCCAAGTGCACGTTCTCAGGCAAAATGTCATGGTCCGAGGGTATTGTTGCGTTGGACTCCGATGGGATCCCGGTTTCCCCAGGCGTGGTGTTTGTGTTACCCGGTGCGGTGTCGACCTTCTGTGGCGCCTCCTTGCCTTCTTCAGAAGAAACTTCGGCTCCGTCAGTCCGAAAGACGTCGTCGGCGTTCTCCGCGGATGTAGTTTCGGCGTCCCTCTTTGAAGGAGTGAGGCTGCTGTATGAGTTCATTGCTCTCTCGGAACTTCTGTCCCCCGCCTCGAGGCTGAGGCTTTGCTCCGCGCCGGTGGTTCCGGTTCCAGTGGACCGCACGTCGTTTTCAGCGGGAAGCTCAGCGATTTGTTGTACTTGGTGCTCACCGTCAGCTGGTCTGGTGGCAGTGTCCATACTCAACGACGAAGCCACTTGAGACGTTGATTCGCCACTCCTGTCATTCGTTCCTCCATCCTCCTCTGGTGCATCATTACTTTCAGGGGATGTTTCAACGTCAGCGACCCCTGTTGACTCCTCTGACTGTGGGTATTGTGGCTGCACATTTGAATCCCGTTGCATCGATTCACTGCCTTCATGCGGCGTGGCTTGCTGAGACGTTTCGTCTTCAGAAAGCTGGGTATTGTCCTCTGGACGAGAGTTCCCTGCGATCTCCGTTGCAATGGCGGGTTCAGGAACAGATGATCCTCCGACAACCGTGGAAGAGGACGCTGCAGGCACCATACCATGGACGATTCCTTCCTCTTGTTTATCAGTATCGTCCCCAGTCAATTTCTCAGTGGTGGTGCTTTCTTCACTCCTTGACTCGGAAGCAACCGAGACTTCTGTGCTGGCCACCTGCCCTGTGGGCTGTTCCTCAACACCCAATGATGGAATAGTGACTTTGCTGGCGTTGAGTTCATACAGCTTATCACTTAAGAGTCTCTCATTGTACAGCATGACGTTGGTCACCGTCACGTGGCCGCCCGTTGCACTTTGGTTCTTACTGTCCCCACCGATGTAGAAGTGTGAAATCCTGTGCGTGTCAAACAGACGTTGATTATATTCCGTGTATTTAATTTCCTTTCGATCCACAAAGACACTCCACTCGTCACAATCCATTCGCAGTGCCACCTGATACGTCCTGTTTGGCTCCCATTTAACAATATCACCAACATCCTCCGCATCATCAACATCCTCCAGATCAACAGCATCCTCCGTTATGGCCAACCACTCCTTTTCATGGGTGTACGACAGACCAAAGAGCACCGTGCCTTTTGTATCGTTCATCCTCACACCCATCAAAGGAATGCTGCCACTTTGCGGCACCTCATGGATGGACACCGTCGCCACAAGAGTGAACTCGTTGTTGGCAAAGTAGTACGGCACAGTCTGCCCCATGTCGCCAACAGGCCACACCGCCCCTGCTCCGGACCCTTTGAACGTCCATCCATTGGGAACCCTTCTCTCCCCATTCTTCACAGTTGCATTCACGCAGAGGTACTCGTCTCTCCATGTGTTCTCAGAGAAGTTACCAGACAAGAAGCCAACAAGCCCGTCAGTGGGAACAGGACCATTGCACATACCCTTCGTTGGCAAGTCGACAGTGGCGCTGGAACCGGAACTGCAGGATTGCAAGGCGCCGTCCAAATCCTTCCATGTCTTCACAACCTCCTTTATCCGCTCCAGTTTCTCGGTCAGGCGCACAGCAACAAGACTGTATGCTCCGTCGCTCTTCTTGTTCTCGTACAGTGAAATCAACTCCTCCTTATTGTCCCTCCCACTCTTCATCAACAGCGAGCTGGCGGCGGCGTCATCAGCCTCACGGGATATCGGCCCAACATCATACACACGTGCCTTGTCCGTCACCCAAAGATGAAGCCGACCTTTTCCACCTTTATTTTCCTCCTTCGCATACACCGGCGCGGTGATGAGCATCACCTCCTTTCCCTCAATGGTTGCGGTGGTGGATCCACTCTGGACGCCGTACCCCTTTCGATTGTGTGAGTTGCCCCACACGCGGGTAATTGGTTTTAAGTGATCAATCCAATTGACTCCATGCGGAGTGGACATGTAAACGTCATAGTAGCCTCCAGCACAATGAGCCATCATGAAGAGTCTTTCGTCGTCTTGGTCTTCTTTCCACTTCACCAGGGTTGGATCCCTGCAGCCGTTACCAGGCTTTTTTTGCGAAAGCCACCATTTGTCCTCCGACTTGGAGAGACGCATAGACAGCAAAACGCTCCTTCCATCGTTGCCTTTGGCCTGCATGGGAAACACAAGCGAGCCGTCACGCAACACAGCACCCGATCCTCCGCCACCAATTAGCTCGGTCAAGAAACCAGATGCTCCTTTTCGTTGAGGCTCCACCAAATGGGTCTCATTCCATCTGATTTTCTTCGTCCCACCCTCATCAGCGACAGTTCCCTTCACGAGTAAAAGACCCCGCTCATTCTTACCTTGAACCTGCTGCTTTGTACGGCTGTAGTTTCCCAGGAGCACGTAAACACTGTCCCCAAGTACAAGTGTCGTTGGTCGCGTTATGCCGTTTGCGGTATTGATACCCTCAGAACCTTCCTTTAGAAGATCTGCGCCAAAGACACTTGCATCTGCCGTCGAGAACTCCGTTGGACCAGAATCAACATTTAAACCAAGGTACTTTGACGCTATCCCAGTAAAGCCGACTTCGCTGCACTTGTCTTCATCCTTGCAACGGGCTTCAGCAATAGCAAATACATCATCACCCACTTTAACGAGGCCAGGAACGCGGAGCGAGGTGATTTTGCCGCCGTCCTCAAACTCCTTCCAATTAGCAAATGATATCGACGTCGTCCCTGTGAACGGATCAATGGTATTCCTTGTTTTACTTCCATCAGCGGCCGCAGCTCCACTGCCGCAGCACATCAACAAAACAAGTAGGAGCAGCACCGCGGAAGTAAACACACGCCGGGACATGTTAGGCCTCTGCGGTTCACTCTCACTTCCTTCCCTCCTCCTTCCGCTGGATCCGGTCACGCGGCGACGGTTGTGTGTGCGGGGTACCTTGACAGCAGCAACACGTGAGAGCATATAAATATGTGTGTGTGGGCGGTGTGTGTGCTGTTTTTGTTGGTCCTTTCAGAGCCTTACAATTTCACAGTAGCGATTCGCGCTTGTGCTTAACTTCCTTCTTGAAGGGAAGCAACAGACAACAGCGGCAGAAAGGCAGAAAGGCAGAAAGGCAGCAAAACAACAGTACACACCGCCACCACTCACAGCGAACCCAAAATCAACATCCCCGCAGCCATTACTCTCCAGCACCTCTCAACAGCATACAAAAAAAACATGTGAACGACCTCCCAATGGGGACCACAGGCCATGGCCCTGCAAAAAAGGCAAATTAGAGGGGGCCACGTGTGCAGTGAGGAACACGAGCGTTGCACTGCAACGACACGGCGGCGTGATGCCCCGTGGGGAGCACCGATGCAGACCAGCACAGCGCCTGCAGGAAGAGTTGCTTCTCCCGCTGAGCAGAGAGGAAAAACAGCCTCAGCAGCCCAATGATGAGAGGTCGCCTGCACCTCCTCGCGGCACCTACATGCTCTGCAGGAGAAAAGGTGCAGATGACGCTCTCCTGCACGCATTACGGCCGTTGCGCCCTTCACAATAGCAATCTCATCCTCTGGCACCACACGCCGCAGTGGGTGTGCAGAGTCTCCGTCTCACTCACTCCTGTCCCTCTCCCTGAGAACTCATCGGTGGCCGTGGCACACCCACCGACACGTCAGAAATCACTTGTTTTTCTTCTTCCCTTGCACATCGCATAGCAGCACCGCCAAACGAAGGTCACTCCTTCTTTCGCGGGTTCCCCTCAGACACGCCTCCTGCCACATTCATCAGCCCACAGCCACACAGTCCGTAAACGTCACGCAGCCGTCCCGCACGATGCTGCCGCACACACCAACACGGCACAACGCCACTCGGCGCAAGCAGTGTCTGGACACACAAAACAGGTTGCCCCAGCGAACAACAGCCCCATCCAAGCAGTGAGGCAGGACTCGTCGCTAACAATCAAACAACCAGCCCTTAGTCTCCTCCTTCCGCCATGCACGAGGTTCTGCCTGCCACATGCATCATCCGTGACGCCCGGGCTCTCAATGAGCAAACAAGGCAGTATGCTCCCCTCGACTCAACGAGAAGCCCAATGACAATTCTCAGCCAGTCGTCTCCATGGGCCATGCATGAGGAACACCACGACAAAAATGCATATAAGATTGCATGCAAAACGCCAACTCATTCCACGTCAATAAATAATGTGGCATCATACATGGGCTTCACAAGCATGTCGACTTGCTCTTTTCTGAGAGGCCTCCCATAAACATCGCACGTGATCACAGTAAAGAAAAAGCAACGCCACCAATCTGGCTGCCATCCCGCGGCGGAGATCAAAGCACAATCAAAAAAAATGCCGCAAATCGTCACATATTTCACACAGACCATCAAAAGATCATGCAGCAAATGCACAGCACGGAAGAAGAGTCATGCCCACAAAGACGCAACACACAGACACAGTAAGAGAGTTGGGAAAAGCAGCACCCAATGCCATTCTTTGTGGATGCAAATGATAATAGCACCAAACAAAGTGAAGCACCAGTCGGGCACCACATGTGGGCCACAGACACACCCACCCGCCCATTCACTCTTCCTCCTCCCAATGACGTGGTCCTCCTGCACCTTTAAGGAACACGTTTGCCTCTCAGTCATGCAAACTTCTAGAGCAAGCACTCAGGGTGCGTTTCGGTAATCCAACATTCAACACCTATGAAAAACAGAGGACATGCTCGCAGAGGACACACGGCTCCTCAACGCAGCCTCAAGGCCTCCTCACGACTCTTTAATGCGGTAGAAAGAAATACAGGCGGCTCTCGTGTCACAGAAGACGGCCAATGGGAGCGGTTTTCACAGCGCAGAAAGTGCCAAGATGTGAAACAGAAGAGGCGGTGGGAGAAGAGCTCACAGGGGACGTCACCTGCCACGCCTGACGTGCGTCGTGTTATTCGTGCAATGGAGAAGTAATGACACTGTTGTTGCGGTGCGTGCACCTCACTCTCGCACCAATGAACGCCTCAATGAACATCCTGTCAAGGGCATGCAGCTGGCCTTGCAAAAAATCCCGAGTCTCGCCAACGTTCCAGCAGCCGCTCCTTTGGCGAGACGTCGCTCTCTTTCGTCCTTGTCTCCCGTGTGCCATCCTCGTATGAAATAAAAATGCCTTCCACAACTGGCGTCATCAAGCACCTCCAAGTAAATTAGGAAGGGATTCACGGCCTCGAGAAAAAGCACCCAAAGTGGCAGTCAACGTGAACTCAGCAACGCATGCCATCTTCTGCCGCCGCGTGCATTGCAACTCCCCTCAGCCGCCCACTGTTTCTTCCTTCCCTGTAGACCCAAACCGCGTGGTAGACTTTGATTTGCTTGGGTCCTCCACAGGCTCGCGTAACCGTTTCCACCACTCCCGTGCAGCTCGTGACAGCATCACTTCCCCGTCCACTTCTGCGGCACCGAATAGCGTGAAATAGGGATCAAAAACACCACATCCGCAAGGCAAACACACATGCATCGCTCCAACGGGTGCCACTGTGAGAAATCACACGACAGCACACTATCTCTCGATCTCCCATCAGCGATTTGCCGTCAACAACAACAACAACGGCATTGAGAAGCAGCCTCGAGACAATCCCTGAGAGCCGTCCCCACCCTGGCGAGCGACAGACTCTGGGAACCCTGCACTCCAGTGCCGTTCCGGAAAGAACTCCTGCCACCGCCAACCGTGCTCCCCTGTCGCGTTGACACACGGAACCCGCTTCAGAAAAACAACAACACGCTCCATTCAAAACGTGGCTATGAGAGTGCTTGGCAACAGGCGCAGGACACACCATCTCAATTCCCAGTGCCGAAAAAGTAAAAAAGCATCAGTGCCGACTTGCTGCAGCACGCACAGATTTGCTTCTATTGTTTCCCGCGTGTTTTCCCAAATAAATCGTAATGCCCGCACCGCGGCAACGCGTGCGCTCAGACCCCAAAGTGCTCCAATTTGCTTTGTGCCCCAGCACAAAGCAGCTGGTCCGGAAGCTGGTCGATGCCGTCTGCATTGCGCCAACAACGATCCCGTGAGGGAAATATTGCTGGCAATTGGCTTTTCCCGGCAATACGGAGTGCTGGGCCCTGGCACCGCGGTGAGGCAGTCAAGCATGAAATCGCAAGGGGAAGCAACGATGACGCAGGCACAAGGAAGCCATTCCACCCTCAATTGAATACGGTGCCCCACTCCAAGCAGTCACACGGAGTGCACTATTTCCACAAAAAAACTTGGTCGTCGTCCACCCCTTAAAGATGCTTCGTTTAATGATGGGCCTTAGAACAAAAAAATAAGAGGAAATGAACAACGCAGTCATACTTCATCACCGCTGGCCATAATCATTCTCTCATAACAGAGCAATTTCCCTACTATGCCTCGTATGCACACACAGAAATCCACATGTATGAAACAACCCGCAATGCTTTTCTACCAGAAACCAAACTACCCCGTTCCCCCATAATCTCTTCTTCGTTCACTGTTACGATCGCTCGCGTTGGACATTTTCCGCATCCGTGTGTGATGCTGCCGCCTGATGCTGGTGCATCTGCACTGTATGCACACACAGGCATCCAACCATATGAAAAAAGCCCCAATATTTGTTACCAGAACTCAAACTACCCCCGCAATTCCCTAATTTGTTTCCCTATTTATTCCTTTAATTACTATCCTCAATTCTAAGGGCTTCTTGAGGCGTCTCCGGATGGTATTGACACTTGGTACTGGCGTACCTTTTCGTTCCAGAACGCCGCAATTTTTTTTTTTCCTTCTCTCTCACATTATTGGAATTGACGACTTCACATCCCTGCCATTCGTTCTTCGGCGTGCTGTCTGCGTGCTGCACGTAAATAATCTCCCACAACATGTCTCGGGATAATTTCTTCCATCCATTAAAATATGCCGCCAGGCACTCAGTGAACTGCCTCACAGTGCTGGTTATCTTGTGGTGCTCACCCGCCGCAGCCATCCGCAGCCCAACCAGCATCTTAGGATTTGAGTCCACAAAGAAAAAGCCGTCCACCAGCGGAAAGTTTTGGATTTTGGGCTCATACAGCACCCAGTGGTCCATAGCAACCGGATTGGAAAGGCGTTCGGGTGGCGGTAGAACCTCTTTTCTGGTGAAGCTCTTGTCTGAGTGCTCTTTCAGCGCACAGCTGTGTGGCTCACGTCGTCCTGGTGGCCTCAGTTCCCTGATTTTAAGTCTTATCGCACGCAGTAAATCCTCATTCAAAAATGCGGATACGGCGTACTTTTCAATAATGTATGGTGGGACATAATCCCAGAACCTCGAAACAAAAAAAATAAAATCGGACTGCTTCATTTCATTTTCCAGCCGGGACAATATTTCGCGTTCGAGGTGGGGAGATATCAGTACATTCAAAGGCGATGCAAAATTGTTTCCTCGTCGTACTCGGACAACCTTCACAAGCTTTCGAGAAACATGATTGCCGTTGCACGACTCGCCAGTTCCGATACCAGCGTAATACCGTAGCATCGAAGGGGTGATATCATTCATGGCATCTTCACACTCGTTAAAGCGAGCGTCAGACTTTTGTTCATTAAAAATGAAGCGGAGAATCGGCCCCACTTTGTCCATGCGACCCTTCACCTTTTTCCAGTAGTCCGCTTCCTCCTCCGCTTCTTCCTCCGCTTCTTCCTCCGATTCTTCTTCCGCTTGTTCCCCCGCAAGCCGCCGATTGTGCTTCTTCCAAACGCACATTGCCTTTACATCGCTCTCGTCAGGGCAATTAATTATGATTCGTTCCGCTCCCATTTGCTCCGCCCACGATTCGTAGTTGTTTTTGTCGGGTGATGTCACCACAATCATGCCCCATCCCTCGCAAGGCAAACCAGTAGACGGTTCATGACCCTTCATTGACACGTCGTAGATAATATACCCCTTCACCCCACGCCCAGAAAACTCGTCCAAAATATCCACGATACTAGACGCCTC